CGTGCGGCGCGCGATCAGGCAGTGATGATAAACGAACCCATCGGAGTTACCAAGTAGAGGCTTGGGAGGACGGCGGGGGCGGCTTGTATCTGTCGTACGGTGGTACAAGGTGGCTCGCGAACCGTTCGATACGGGTGTTGTACCCTCCTTCGGTGTAGTTACCTTTCTTGAAGCGAAGAAGCTTCAAGCGAATAAGAACAAAACAAATTATGGCGACGGGTCCCACCGGCCTTTTGGTCGGCTCTCTTCTATGCCGGGATAGTTTTGCGGGAACCCCGCTGGGGCCGGCTTGCCCCCCCCCCTCCCCCGTCCACCATTGCACTTGAACACCACCGCCCACAGCGTACAGCTTTCTCTGCTTGACGATGATCGAGGCACAGGGGGAACTTCGTGTGGCAAGAAAACGGGGATCACCCCAGGAGGTATGCGTTCAACCCAAAAAAAAAGTATGGTTCAGTACAGCGCACGGGCGACAGCATCGTCGGTTTGTCGCTGCTGCTGCTGCTGCTGCTTCGTCAGTGGAAGGATTTTTTTCGCCACCCACTAACTGTGTATACTGCTGCAAGGTTCAAATTCTCACCGGGATGTGCTCGGCCGTGTGCTTGGACACCTTGTTGGGGTCCTCAGAGTCGTGCCCGATCGCCTGAACGTCGTGGGGTGGGGTGGGTGGGGGGGCACCGTGTTTGTTGAATTTGAAAAGGCGATCGGGTGCCATCCAAATCAGCACGACGTGCAACTCGTGCTGTACTGCAGCACGAGTCCGCCCGCCCTTTCTCCATATCGTAACACAACCGCCTACACCAAGAACCAACACCACGCTTGTTGCTTCGAGAGAGAAAGCAGCGACCAAGCTTGGCCGGCTCCGACACCGTCTCATCCCCACCCCTACCTGCTTCGCGCTGTGGCGTCGAGCAAGCTCGATCATCGCCGCCTGCCATGCCCGCAGCTCGGCGCTCGCAGACCCGGCGACCCTGTTGTCGTCGGCGTGGGCGGAAGCGCCAGTAGCAGCGTAGGCGGCCGGGACTTTGCTACCAGGGACACCATCCGGAATGCCGCCGCTGAGCGCAGCCACGCCGTTGCTGCGGGTGCGCCTTTTTCGCCGCCGTCAGCGCCGCCCGCAACGAGTGTGTGTGACCGGTCAACGGGGGATTGTTTTGTTTTTCTGTTCAAAGCGTGTTGTTGTTGTGGGCCAGCCCCCAACACCGAAAACATAAACAAAGCAACACTTTGCAGCCGACGGATGGCCTGTTGTAAGCTGTCGTGGGGCACCCAGCGCCATGTCGTGGTTGCCACGAGGTAAGACCTTGAGGCACAACACGCCCTCCGACTATCCTCCGGTGACACATTCGGGAACAGGAATCAAACAAGCTCCTTTTGGCTCACGACATGTCCGAAGCAGTGCCGCAGAGTACACATAAATATGCATAGGAGAGGCAACTGGTTTCCACTGGCTTGACATGCGAGCATCTAAACCTACCCGTCTTGCGTCACGATTGCATGCATAGAATGTTGGCGACGACGCCGGGTTGCTGTTTTGAGAGATGTCCGGCCAACCACATGTATGTCACATGCCCGCTGTCCCAAAACACGGCAAATAATCACGTTGCTGCCGTCCACTTCGGCTTTTGTTGATGCCTTCAGATTACCAGCACCATCGACTGACCAACTGCAAACGATACAGCCACCCCCCTGCGCTTTCTTGCATTCACGCGTTTACATGATGTGGACATGAGTAGCGCAGAGAGTCTTTTCTCGTTCTGCAAGACAGACAGCGCCACGGGACTGTCAGGAATTTCGCGGTTGCGTTTATTATCTCCCACCTGCGCCCAGCCGCAGCTAGTAGAGCCCCTCGCCGCTTCAAGTCCCAGTGTGTGGTTGGCCCGAATGCTTCGCCGAGACGCCTGAGAGCTAGAGATTGCCCTCGGCATCGCAGCATGCTTCAACTGCACACACCGCCACACACAGCGCTATGCCACAGGGAGTCAAAGATGCGGCGCCCGGGAATCTGCCAACATTGGCAGGAACGAATTGCGTGCCAACACGAAAAACGCCTGCAGAACCTACACAGAACCAGATATCAATTTCAAAAAAGGGTTAGCACAGCAAGTACAGCTGTGTACGCAGTACGCAGCCATCCTACGCACAGCCACCGGCCTAGGCACAGCCAGCCAGGCTACGCACGCGATAGCCTTTCGCGACACCGCTTCACACCGCTGGAAAAAAAAAACCCGGAGGTACGGCCAATCCAGAAGCGCTTCATGGAGACTGTTGCCGAGTGCTCTGCGCCGGTGGCGACCGTTGGTGCGTCGGGAGCTGCGTGGCGTAGCTGGTCTGCTGCCGCTGCGGATGAGGGCGCTAAGCACACTACGACCGGGATCCCTACTACTGGGAGCCTGGAGGCCGCTGCTGCTGCTGGGCCGTCAATGGACGAGGTAGGCAGGCGCTCTAAACGTACTAATAACGGATGAAACAAAGGCATCTCGCGTTTAAAATTCGAGAGCCCACACGCAGCAGTTGTACGGCCATCTGTCCTAATCATAAATGTGTTTCTGATTAGGCTTTCCAGGTAAAAGAGTTCTATCGATTTAGGTCTGGTGTCGTTGTTGTGTTGGTGTCGTTGTTGTGTTGTACTTGGGCTGGACGCAATAGCTC